TATATATATATTATATATAATATATATATATATATATATATATATATATATACATACATTTATATACATAAATTTATGCGTGTTTGCGTGTGTGTGTTTGTGCACTCGTGGAGGTGTTATGCTGAAGCAATCTTTTTCTGTGCATCACAGCACCAGCACCGAAAGGCGCAGTCAAGACCAAGATCATAGACACCAGTCTTGTTGTGCTATGGACTGAAACCTCCGATGAGCCCCATAAAGAATGCCTTAATACCACTGAAGTGATAGCGACCTTCGCCAGAACGGGAACCGTTACCAAGTCCACGAGCAGCCAAGTGGACCGCGTTCTGTTCCCCTTGAATGAATGCGATCTTGGGGCGGGGGAGGTTTTCGTCACGTCCCTCGGCGGTAGCGGGTCGAGTGAGCCGAGGAAATCCAACTTCACTTTCGAGGATAGTGGTAAGCAGCTCGCTTTTTGGTAGTCATTTGGATTTACGAAAGTCCATTTCGTGACCTTGACTTAAAGGTTTGGCTATTATTAGAAATAAACTGGCATTTAGGTTGGAGAAAAGGTTATTGGTTTACCTTTTGCATATCATTCAAATCTTAGATTTGTTTGTAATTTGCGATTAACACCAGCGACCCATTATCTGTATGATAATGATGAAATTAATGATTTATTTTTCGATCGAAGTTCATTGTTTTTCAAGCTTGCCGCTTCCTTTTTCTCCAGCCCTCGTCACTCCCATCATCGGGTCGCTGGAACTAAACGCCACCTGCGACTCCATCGAAGCAAGCTGGGAATTGATTGACTGGTGTCCTTACCTCGCCTGGTTTAGGGTCACGTTAAAGCCCTCAGAGTCGGTCACCACCACGCCAGATTACAACAGCACCAGCACGACTTTCGAAGGGCTCGATGCTGGCACTAACTACGAGGTGTGCGTCCAGCCGGTGGATAGCAGCAGTGACGATCTTGCCGTGAGCATTTGCAGCAACATAAGAACAAAGATTCCTGGTATTTATGTTAAACTTGTTGGTAATAGGATAGGAAATGGTAATATTTTATCAAATATACACTGTCTTAGTTTACAGACTGATAGATTTGAAAACGTTTATTTTTCTCGCACATACACGCAGAGGATAGATAAACAGATGGAAAGGTTAAAAGATATATGTGTTTTTTCTTTCCAATTATATCATAGAGTAAAACTGTTTCCAGAGTTTGAATTCCTTGAATTATATGTATTTTTCTAGCTAGCAAATTCCTTCACCTAAGTGCTAACGTTTCCATTGCCTTTCATAGCCGTGGAAGACCTTCAACTCGAAGCAATAAATCACACAGCAGTTCAGGTTTCCTGGTCCCCGAGTGACTGTAATATGTCTGAACCTCAGCGTTACGAAGTTGAAGTTGTTACCTGTAATAATTTCACGAATGAAACTTGTACGGGAGCAACGTTTGTAAACTCGACTACAGAGCTTAACTACACGCAAACTGGGCTCGAACCCTACACTCAGTATCATGTATCTGTGGTTTCCATATATGCAAGTGACTCCTCGTACCAAGCCGATGATTATGTCATCACTCTTCCTATGGGTAAGAAAATGCCATGGCTCTTAAGTGTCTCGCAAAAGATGTGGTATTAGTAAGAAATTGTGTTGTGTGTTGTGTTGTGTGTGTGTGTGTTGTGTGTGTCTGTGTGTGAAGTGTGAGTGAGTGAGTGAGTGAGTGAGTAAGTGAGTGAGTGAGTGATGTGTGTGTGAGTGAGTGTGTGTGAGTGTGAGTGTAAGTGTGAGTGTGTGTGTGCGTGTGTGCAGTGCATGCCTATCTTTATCCATTAAAACACAGACACACATACATACATATGTATACGCTTACATGCACAAGGGACTCTTGCCTAAGACAAGTAAAAAAATTACATTAATATATTGAAATTTGTTCCCTAGGATCACTTAATTTTTACTCAATTTCATTATACAATTCATTGCTGCAGCTACTGACAGGAAGTGGCAATAATAACAATGACAATAATATACTATGTAGCCTCACGGAGTTTCTATACCTCCTCTATGTGATTGGTTGTGGATTGAAGACATGTTGAAACGGGGGGGGGGGGGGTGACTGTTACATTAACTGAAGATTCTTTGAGCCTACGGATTCTTGAGGCGAACATTATCACTAACATAACTTTCTCAACTTCTCCCAGCTCCTTATGACCTTGAAGCATTCCTTCAAGACGCCTCGACTATCTATGTCTCGTGGAACTACCTTGATGAACTCTCAGAAAATCAAACGTACGGCATCAGCTGGAAACTAGAAGAGTCCGACGTGATTTACAGCGGTAACACAACGTTCAAAGAGTACGTCATCCAAGGTTACAACGGAACAGGGTCGACTCTTTTGTGCGTCACCGTCACCCTAGATGCGGCAACGAGCATTCCGGAATGTAATGAATTCCGGCTCTACTATCTGGAAGATGGTGAGTAATAATAAGGATTCATAGAGGCGAGAGAGAGAGAGAGA